TGAACGTATCACCCATACCAAACACAACACCCTAAACCAGATTATCATGACATACTAATACCAATACCAAGCATCGACACAACAAACATACCCGAAAACTAGTTACAAAGTAGAGAAGAAATTTTATTACAAAACATCATCCCTAAGAGTCTGAAACAAGGAGGAGCACTAGGGTGAGAAGCAGGCCCACCTGGATGGAAGACTTTATTGCCCATGTCACTGAATAACTTGTACTCGAACCTCCTTTCCTCATGTCCACCTCACCTGCATACAATCATGGCTATGTTAATTTCATTGCACAAGTGTCTATTACAAAGGAACCAACATCATACAAGAATGCTAAAGAAGACAACAAGTGGGTTGAGGCCATGTAAACCGAGCTATCCGCACTAGAAGACAATAACACTTGGGAACTAACTGCACTACCAAAAGGGAAGAAAGCAATTGACTCAAAATGAGTGTATAGAATAAAATACAATACCAATGGATCAGTTAAAAAATACAAAGCAAGATTCGTCATTAAGGATTACAATCAAGAGTTTGGCATAGACTATCATGATAGCTTATCACTAGTGGCTAAAATAGTCACAGTTTGACTACTTTTGGCCGTGGCAGCCGTAAACAACTGGCCAGTGTATCAGTTAGATATCAATAATACATACCTACATGGATTTTAAAAAAGAAGTTATACCTAAAACCCCCATAGGGCTACTTCAAGGCTAGTGAAAGGCAAGTCTACTATTTAACCAAGAGAATGTATAGCTTGAAATAAGCGGGTCGCTAATAGAACAAAGAGCTTACTTTAAAGCTTCAATCCATCAGCTTCACCAAGTCAGAAGCCGACCACTGTCTATTCACAAAAAGAATAAAAGAAAATTATGGTGTAGTTGTAGTATATGTGGATGACTTACTTGTTACAGGTCCTAACGACGAAGAGATTTGTAAAGTCAAAAGCGCTCTAGATGAAGCCTTCACGGTCAAGGACCTCGGTCAAGCAAGATACTTCCTTGAAGTCGAGATAGTCAGGTCAAAAGAAGGGATCTACATTAGCTAGAGGAAATATATCAAAGAGATTTTACAAGATACAAGGATGTAGGACACAAAAGGAAGCCACTTTCCTCTGCCTTCCGGACTAAAACTAAATGGAGAAATCTTACCAGATCCGGAGAGGTATAAACGTCTAATCGGCCGCTTGCTCTACCTCAACTTTACCAAACTCGGCATAACATACTCTACCCAACATCTCAGTCAGTTCATGCAACAACCCAGATGGTTGCATCTCGACACCGCATTACATGTCGCCAGGTACTTAAAGCAATATCCAGAACAAGACATCTTCTTTCCGAGAAGGAATGACCTTAAAGTTCAAGTCTTTTGTGACTCAGACTAGGTATTGTGTCTGATGACCCACAAATCCCTCAGGGGCTTCTGCGTCTTCCCCAGGCCAATACTAATCTCCTAGAAAATAAATAAACAAACTACGGTGAGCAAGTCTTTCGCATAAGCTGAGTACATAAGTATGTCATCCATAGTATGTGAAGTTTAGTGGATAACTTATCTCATTCGAGATTTTTAAATAGTACCTCATTTACCCGTAATACTGAACTGCGACAATAAAACTGCTGAGCATATCGAAGCAAATCCGATCTTTTATGAACGAACGAAGCACATCGACATCGATTGTCACATAGTTTGTAACCAGGTACAAAAGGGTTTCGTCAAAACAAAACACGTCACCTCGAAAGAATAACATGACGATCTGCTCACGAAACCTTTAGGGACCTCAGTACATCACCAACTTCTGTTCAAGATGAAGCATTTGCAACAAGAACATACAAAGGGTTAAAGAAGTGGTGAGGAACTTGAAGAGTCAAAAGTGAACAGGCTTCATCTTAAGGAGCGGGTGAAAAAAATTAAGAGTGAAAAAACTGAAAGGAGATGGACAGGTGGATCACCCAGATCAAAACCCTAAAATGAAGGGTCAAGATATTTTCTATTTTAAAATTAGTTAGACTGTTGGGAACAACTGGTGGTCTTAATAGATTCCATAGACCACCTTTCTTTTTTTCTCTTTTACTCTCCTGCATGTATAAATATTCCCAATGTCTTCACACAATTAACAAGGTAGAAAATTAAGAGTATTAAAATCCTATTTACACCCAGTTGGGTTTCTTACATAAAGTATTGTTTAGAGTTTTAGAGTTATATTTCTTTTTATCAATAAAATATAGTATTTGGTAATTTTTTTTTTGATATTTCGAGAGAGCCTTTAAGAGATGTAGGAAAATTTATTTTCTTCTTGTCCTAAAAAAATGCATTATTAAGGAGGAATTAAAAAAGACATGACAAAGACTCGTCTGTTTTTTTTTTTGTTGATTATACATTAAAGAACACTCGAGAAAACAAAAGAGTTAAAAAATTTGGAATCATGAGTGTAAGTGGACCAATCTCGAAAATTAGAGACTTTCATTTTGGAGATTTGAAATTGTAACAGCCCCAGAAAAATTTAATATTGGAAAGGCATATATATAGATAAATAATCTGAATTTGCGGAAGCGTATTAAACAATGCAATTAACATCCCTTACGCAATTAACATCCCTTACGCAATTAACATCCCTTATTCAACAAATGAGGGAATAAACTAATTAAAATAAATGCTCGAAAGTAAGAACTACAATTATAACTATAGAATCTTTAGGCGTCCCCTTCGCCGTCTTCCTGCGGAACGGGCTCGGGAACCACATCTTCCTGATCTGAAATGGTTAAGTAAGGAGTGAGCTACACTAGCCCAGTAAAGACATCACTCTACCTCACTGCCACAGGAGTAAGGGTGGGTAGAAAATAAAAACGACAAATGGAGCATAATTTGTAATAAACCCATTTGTTCATAAAAACGTTTACTTTCCATTTACCTGGGTGAGATCCATAAAACAATACACAAGCAACACATTATCATCATCACGTTATCACATAGACTTTATAATACAACATTTATCACACGTTTGCATTTCAATCTTTAAACAGCATAATTCCTTTTTACCAGCCTACTAGTATCCATGGGGATTCATAGGGGTCCCGCTACCCGTGAACCCTTAACATTTATAACCTGATTCCAGGGCCGTCCCCATACCCCGTCCGGTATGGGTGCCAAAACCACGAACCTCAATACCCCGTCCGGTATGAGGGTGAAACGGGCCGTCCCCATACCCCGTCCGGTATGGGCGCCAAAACACATAAGGTCTTCATACCTCGTCCGGTATGAGAGACCACGTTCCCGGTAGGGTTCCCTATGGACCCGGTCCGTCCAC